CATTGTGCAAGATGACCATTTTAGCAGTGTTAATTGTTTCAATCCATGAGCAGGGAATATTTATTTCTTTGCAACTTTCATCTCTTTTAATAATGTCTTACAGTTTTTATTGTATAGGTGTATTTTACTGTCTGTTAAAATTTATTCCTGGGTATTTAGTTGTTTTCGATGAGCTAGTAAATGGGATTGTTTTCCTGGTTTCCTTCTCTCTGGCTTGCCATTTGCATATAGGTTCCCAACTGATTTTGGTATATTGATTTTGCAGCTTTCCACTTTACTAATTTATTATTTGTGAGTTTTTTTTTATGTGTATGTGTGGAGTCTTCAGGGCTTTCTGTGTATATTATCAAGTCATCAGCAAGTAGTGATAATTTTATTTCTTCTTTTCTAATTGGATTCCTTTTATATATTTCTCTTGCCTAATTGCTCTAATTAGGACTTTGAATATTAGGTTGAATAGTAGCAGGGAAACTGGACATCCTTGTTGTATATCAGACCATGGTGCAAAAGCTTTCAGTTTCTCACCACTGAATATGATGCTAACTGTGGGTTTGTCATATACAAAGCCTTTACTACGCTGAGTTATGTTCCTTGTATCCCCATTTGGGGTAGAGTTTTATCATAAATGGATGTTTAATCTTATCAACTGTCTTCTCTGCATCTGATAGATCCTATGTTTTTGTTTTTGTTTTTAAAGATTTATTTATTCATACAGAACTGGGGTACAGGCCAGAGGCTCAGGGGTGGCGAGAGGCTCACCAGAGACAGAGTGGGGAACAGAACAGGCAGATCGAGGAAGTACACTGCTGAGGGGAGCAGCGGGCGGGTCAGGAGAGGTCTGCCACGCCATGTGGTCACCTCCAGGGCAGGCGGAAGTGGCTTTAGGCTCTCAGTGCTGTCCTTTAACCCACTGCACCACCAGGGAGGGCCGACCCTATGGTTTTTATCTTTTTTTTCCAATGTGGAGAATTACATGGATTGATTTGTGAGCTCGAATCATCTCTATATCACTGACATATATCCTGTTTGGTCATAATATATGATCCGTTTAATGTATTATTGAATTCAGTTTGCTAAGATTTACTTTGTCTATGTGATACCTCAATCTTTTTCAAATTGAAAGAAAAAAACTCCTGCTGATTTTTCATCACTGTCTAGTGGTAGGAAGAAATGCAGGTGTGGCTGGAGAGTAGAAGTGATGCCAAGAGGAACAGCAGTGTACTGCACCCCAGACCCTACATGTGGCCATATGCTTCCATGTAATTCCCTCTGCTGCCAAGCATAGTTGGTGAGGGGTGAGAGCAAGGCCTGGGCCAATGAGCCCAGGCAGTTCTTAGAGATGGCAAAGTGGCTGTTCACAGGTTTCCACACCACTGGTAAGTTAAGAAGATTGGCTATAGGCCCTCGCTGGTGGCACAAAGGGCTAAAGCACAGTACTAGGAAGCTAGCTGCAGCCCCTTCAGTAAGAGTTTGATCCACAGCCCAGCCCCCAGCTGCCAGGGAGCTGACCCACAGTGGTGCAGCAGACCTCTCCTGTCCCGCCCGCCAGCCCACTGCTCCCCTCAGCAGTGTACTTCAGCAACCTGCCTGTTCTGCTCCCCACTCTGTCTCTTGTGAATCCTCTCACCACCCCTGCATCTCTGGCCTGTACCCCAGTTCTGGATGCATAAATAAATAGATCTTTAAAAAAGAAGATAGGCTATGTTGTAGAGAAGGGCTTTAATTTCACTTAAAGAATATCAACAAGCTACCTCATCTGTGCACCCAGACAAGTCGGTAATGTGAATTAGGAACTAGCAGTTAAATTTAAAGTAATGTTTATGGCTAGATACCTGAAAGAGTAGGCTACAGAAAGAACAGACCCTCGAGAATTGATGGAATGTACTTTAGAATCCCAGGAGACTGCTTTGGAAAATGGGTTAATTACAGGAATATGCAGGAAGTAAGAGCTCACTCCCACTCAGCCCATTTCTTCACCCCCATCTCCATTATCACTCCAGAAAATGTTCTGGACAAATGAGTGGAGACTGAGAAATGTGCACTTTCAGCATTCATCAACCCATGGTAGAGTTTCAGAGAAAACAGAAGTTACATTAAAGCTGTATGTGTGCAGCAGACATTCCTTTCTGAGCTCTGACAAGCCCAATGACACACAAATAGGGGTTGCACTTAATCCTGTGAGAGTTTAACACTCACACCTACTGTGAAAGAATGATTTATAATGCTGTACTTGCCTCGTGGGTGTCAGACCCATATTTAGGACGAATGCAAATAAGGTCTTTCTTTAATGAATGGGGAAAGATTTTCTCATGATATTCCTCCTTCACTGATAGAAAGATACAAGTTGTTGGAGATCTAAATTTTGTCTTCTCTACTCAGAAGCTCACCTAAAAATGAGAAAAATTAGGGACTATGTCTATAAAAATGGTGGATGACTATGTGGAATATTTGTAAGTGATCTGAAATGCTCGTAAAGGAAGGACTGGATGTGACCTCTTCATACAAGTGGCAAAAGGCTAATTTGTTTTCCAAAACTTTTCCCTACTGGATAAAGAGTAAAATCTACAAGCTTTACAAACAAATCTCAAAGCTCACAGACAAATCAGTCAAACTGAAGTTGAGGCCACTTCTTTTACTCCCTTAGGTAACATCCTAGTGAATACATGCTAAATTAGTTAAGAAGTCAAGGACAAACACATTAGCACCAGAGAAGATGCTGACCTACATTAGAAAAGGAAAGTCTGGCCCTCCCTGGTGGCGCAGTGGGTTAAAGCACAGCTTAAGACACTTCCGCATGAGTTCGATTCCCGCCTGCCCCGGAGGTGACCACATGGCGCCGCAGACCTCTCCTGACCCGCCCGCTGTTCCCCTCAGCAGTGTACTTTGTCGATCTGCCTGTTCTGCACCCCACTCTGTCCCTGGTGAATTCTCTCACCCTCCGCATCTCTAGTCTGTACCCCAGTTCTGTAGAATAAATAAATCTTTATAAAAAAAAAAGAAAGTCTAGTTCAGTGTGGCATTATTTACAAAACAAAATAGAAATACTGACACTATTATTTCACGACACTATCCAACTTATGACATGTGTAGTGAGAATGCAGTTCTAAAACATAACTTAATTCTCAAAATTCAATATAGGGGCTGGTTCAATGGCTATAGTACACCACTGGCCCATACCTAGATGCTGTTTGTTTTAAGTTAAGGCTTCAACTTACCTTCAGTGTGATAGTCAATAGTTGTATTATTGGAATACAATTAATCTCTTCTCAATTCCATGCAATATGGTCCAATACAAAATATCATCAGAAGTGTACTTACCTGCTTAAGGTGAAATATATAATTTTATCTTGATTTAGCCCATTTTTTTCTTTTGTCCTTGCTCCTCAGAGCCCCAACTTCTAGCCCTCAATAGATAGTAAATAAAACATTTTCCTTAAAAGCAATCTTTCTTAGATAAAGAAAAATACCAGATGGCTTCACTCATAGCAGGAACATAAAGGACCAGAGGGGGGAAAATTAATAATAATGAACAAATATATACTAGAGACATTTTATGGGGATGGAGTGGGGAATGGGATCAAAAATGGGGGAGAGGAGTGCACTGGACTATGGTGAGGGCACACAGCTGATTTGGTGATGGGAAGCCCACGGGGATTACAACTGAGATGGAAAAAGGCACAAAGTAATGTAAAAACAAACTATTATATATTTTTTTTAAAAAAGCAATCTTTCTTCATTACTTTAGAAAATATTAAAATTTACTGAGCCCTTATTGTTTGTCAAACACTACTTTAAGTATTAGGCTATTTAATCCTTACAACAGTCCTCTGAGGTAAGTGTTATTAATATCCTCACCTTCCATGTGAGGACAATGAGGTACCTGGAGAGTAGGAACATTTCCATGATCACTAAGTCAATAAACAGCAGTTGGCATTTTGAATGCAGGCAGTGTGACCAGAGCCCATACTATTACCTGCTACTCTCAACTTGTGAAACTGACAACAACTTCTTTTGAATTGGTGTGTTTGATTAGCACTACTACACTGCCAGCAGAATGGGTCTTGGGCAAATTGTTGAGGGTCCCTCCACAAGTTTCCTCATCTATAAAATGCACCACTTTTGGCAACTGTCTTTGGTCATCCCAGATCCAGGTTGAATCTCCCAGATGCCTAAGTTTGCCTCCATTGAGGTCAAAGTCATATACCTAAAGCGCTATGCCTCTACCCTGGTACCTAAAACGGGTCTTTGGGCTTGTCCCCTGAAGCAGCATTTGATGACTTTGCCAAGGCAACTGGCAATGGGTGGGTGTGAGGATTACCATGGAACTACCATTTGGAACAGACAGGCTCTGCCTCATTTGTCAGAGCCCTCAAGGTGCCACCGACAGACGGAAAAAAACATTAAGCACAAAGGGAAGATCACTTTTGATGAGACTGTCAGCATTGCCTGTGGTACTACACTGGTCTTTACTTAGAGAACTCTCTGGGTTCACTAAAGAGAGTTTGGGACTGCTCAGTCTGTGGGCTGTCATTGTGATGGCAGCCCACCCCCATGACATCGGCAGTAATGCGGTAGAGTGAAAATAAGAGCTGTCGAGGAAAATGTTTCAGTAAAGGGTCCTTTGACAAACCAAAATAAAAACGGGCCTCTTCCATCCAACCAGAGTTAGTGTCCTTCTTTCCCTGACATTCCTTTTCTTTTGATACTTGCTGACACACAGCAAGTATGACACTTCCCATTCCATTCCCATACGAATGAAACCTGGGCCCCCACACAACTCAGGGAGGAGGCTAAGCCGCTGTAGGAAAATGGACACTCTTATTGCCAATGTCTTAGTGGGCATCTGCCTATTTGCTAAACCCTTGAACAGGGTATGTTGTTCACCTCACCCCCTATACTGCACTTACTTGTTTGGCACCCCAAATGTACCAGACTTTGGTCAAAAGCCATACTGCCTTCCCATCCACCCTGTTCCAGATGGACAAAGCAGGAAAACTCACCCAAAACTCTGACAACTCTCATCAGGACTTCCCCAACCTTCATTCTGGTCTCTGGTGTGCGCTGGTCTTTACTGCTGTCGTACTGAGCCAACAGGCCAAGCAAGACTTTCTCAGGGTAGGTGTCTGAGAGTACGGCAACTCCTGGGGTTGAAAATAAGAAAGAAAGGACTTATTACTGTTTAGGACCGAAAGGCAAATAACCCTAGACAGGCTGTGATAGGCTGAGCACACCCATCGTAATTCAAACAGCAAGAGACTCTAATCTACCAGTCTCTCTTTATTTGGAGAGACTACATACCAGGATGTTGGGGCCAAGGACGCAGACTGATCCCAGCTTTGTATGTGCTAAAGGGCACTTCCAGCACTGATACTCTGAGACTGCGGGTTGCAGACTCTGGAAGCTGGGACTAGATGATTCTGCCGCAAAGAAGGGGATGCGCATGGCGAAGACTGGATTAAATGCCCTGTCGGGGCCCCTTCTCAGGGTCTGCACTGTGCCTGCGCATGTAGCTGCTTGGAGGCACAGCAGAACGTCTCTCTTTGCTGCATTTCTCCACTCCAGTACAATTTCTCTTGGTAGCACTTCAATGATGAAAGCAATTTCCACAAGAAAACTGCATCTTTGAATGGAATCAAAAGGCCAGAGATAGCAATCTTGTTATAAATTTCAGGAATTAAGAAAATCAAGATGCTGAAGAAATTTATAATTATCTTTTATCTGAGTTACTGTTCTCCTGTTTGAACTGACAAGCTTGCTGGCAAAGCCTACACACCATGCTCTCTGTTAGCGGTTGTGATTCCATTCTCTATACAGCAGACGTTTACCACACCTGCTGGGGCTGCACCTGTCTGCCCACCCGCTTTCCTGCCCTCCCTACCTCCATCTTCCCATTGTTCTGGGAAGTCTCTGCATGTGGTCCTGAGCGTTGTCTGCCTTTATGTTTATGCCTCCACTTATACATGCAGAAGCCCTGCTCTTCACAGCGTTTAAGGCTGCGGCTGGGATGGAAGTAAGCAGTTTCCCTGTTGCCAACTGTGACACTACAGTTGTAGTTAGCGCTATCATGTAAAATGATGGTCAAGTTTGTGGTGGCTCCAAGGTGGAGAAAGAAACATTCAAGCATTGTAAAAAGGGTGGAAGAAATGGCTGAAGAAAATCAATGGTAAAAAGAAAAGAAAAAGAATTATAAGTTTTGTTGATCTGCCATTCGTTTTACAAAACTAGGTAAATTCTGGAAGGCAACTTCACACCACAAGAGGCCCATGGTATAAGAAAAGAATAAATAAATTGTTCCCTAAGGGGGCAGGGAGGAAGAAAACAGCTTTCAAGTACTGCAAGAACCAAAGGAAAAATGAATTGGCAGTTGATGGTTGCAATTCTGACAGAGGGCATGTTACTGATCTATGACAAGATCTGGTACATGTATAGGTCTGTAGTTATTAAAACTATCTTTTTATCACAAGTTATTAAAACTATCTTTTTATCACAAGTGCCCAACTCAGATACTTGCTGGATGTTTCCTTTTAGAAATAACTTCAGCTGTGCCTAGCTTTTCTGAAACATAGCTATTATTAAGGCCCCTGTGCCTTGTTTTTGTCTATTTCCCCCTCACTACTCTGTATTAAAAAAACAGTTATTTACATCCCTCAACATATTCTGCCAGATAAGTTAAAACCAAAGGCACTCTTGGTTTTTTCTCTGAAGCAGACAGACAACACTGGTTCCATGGTTGCTACTCTTGTAACAGGGCAGGGAGAGGGGTAACCCTAAGTCCCCAAATCTGCCTGCTTTAAATAGGCTCTGCCATCCACCACATCAAGACAAAACATATAAGATCTTTAAAGGAAAGGAACTGTAATAGAATCAGTGTGCAATACAGAAAAAAAAGAATATAGTTTCTGAATCAAACACCCAAAGCTACCCATCCCCTCATGGGTAAAAGTCCACCTAAAAGGGACTGGCCCAAAGCAAGGCCTGAAAGCCCACCACAAGTCTAAAGCACCTTCTGGCCAGGACCCATAGAAAAGGGTTAGAAATAGCCAGACAGGTCTGGGAGGAAAAGAGCAAAATCAAAATCAAGATAAACACTGCCATGGTCACCTCCCCATGGGTCTCTCACCCACGTCTGTTCCACCCAGTCCAGGACCAAGAAACAAGAGCCGCTTCCTCACCTGTGTCTGCCCCATGCGCCTCCCTCAGGCCTCCCTCTGGCTCTCCATCCTGCTTCCTTCTCCTCAGTCTCCTCCAGATTCTTCTCCTCCCTGCTCAGATCTACCCTCCTTTTGGGTGGGACAGGAAACCTGGAACCTCCCCTTTTCCTGGGACCACCCTGTTACTCTCTCTCTGCTAACCACATCCAGTGTCCCTTCAGGAGACACCCCTCCCACTCTCAGCCTCTGTGGCACTAACTACCTACGCTCTCTGTCTTTGTGTGTAAACTCGAATCCCAGGCTGGCCTGTGGAGCCACTCCAGCCACCCCATCTTCACCACAATGACTGGCTCAGACCCAGGCAAGGACATTCAATCCTAGGGCTACTGGGAAAGATAAGCTTTATGCCACCCCGCCCCCAACCTCCCACTGAAGCGATTAACCTGGAATTGCCAGTGACCACCAGTTGGAGAAAGCCCACCTTAAACAAGGCAATCCAGAGACTGGTCAAGTCAGTGAGGGAAGTTATATGTGTTGAGCTTCTGGATCAACTCTACTTCTACCACTAGAATTGATGGTGCATTTGCCTTCTTCATATTAGAAAAACAAACTCAGATAGCTTTTTTTTTTTTTTACTTTTTCTGTAATGGCCAAACTCTGAATTCCATCAGGGAGCTCTAAATTCTCCCAATCTCACATTAAAGGGTTGCCAACAGCAAAGCACAGCTTCCTTGCTTCCCACAGTCCCACGTTTGCAATTGTTTATCTTCCTGCTGGCTGCTCCACAGATTGCTGCCAAGTGGCCTTCTGACTGTGAATTTTCCTTCTAAGATGCCATTGCCTCCTGAGCGTTTATAAATCCCTGGTGAACAGGAGCAGTTCCTCCCTTACTCCTACACCATCAGGGAGGAGACTCAGATAGGAGGCTAAGGCTATGTCTCAAAGAAAGGGATGAGACGTTGTGTGGCATTTTCTGTTACTTATTTGGAAAGTTTTCCCACCTTTGACAACTGAGGAAGCATAGCCATAACCTCCACACGACCCTTGGCCTCTCACACTTGATCATTGCTTTGTAATTTGAAAATGGGGTAATTTCCGGGCCGGGCCAGGCCAGGCCAGGCTTCCAGGAAATGTGACACAGCAAATGACACATCAGTCCCTTTGGCAGGGGAACCAAAGGAGTGTGTGGAAGATACCTGTTTCCACTCTGACCACAGGCTAATGACTTTGCATTTCAAGATGTGGAATAACAGAAGATTGAAAGAAGGGAAAACTGAACCGAAACAAGCAAGAGTTCATCGAATTCTGACCTGCATTTTGGATGCAAAACACAAGATTAGAGGCAAATCAATGTCACTGAGAAAATACTTATTTAGGGCAAGTTTTGTTGATCTGCCATTCATTTTACAAAACTGGATAAATTCTGGAGGACAACTTCCTATCAGCAGGTGCACGTGCTTTACTCTTCCTTCACCAAAACTCCAGTTCCACAGCCTTCTCATATGACCCCCTCCACTGCTCTTCTGGGGCTACCTGGAGTCTAGAGTTATTTTCATTGTATTTTGCCTATTTGTTTTGTTTGGTTATTTATATTTCACAAACAACTGCAACCATCTAGTAACTGTCTTCCACCTCCTGACTTATTTCATTTGGCATCATCACCTCAAGATACATCCATATTGTTCTAAAAGGCTCCACTTCATCTTTTTGAATGCCTACACGTGTCTACCACAATTTCTTTATCCAGTTGTCTGTCAATGGCATTTAGGCTGATTTGGTGTCTTAGCGATTGTAAATTGTGCTGCTATCGACATAGGAGGGCATACATGTTGAAAAAAATAGTCTTAAAAGTACAGTACAATAACAAAAGTACAGTACAATAAACAGAGACAACCAACTCTGTCAAACAACTGGTCTCTTCTCTCCCCAGGACCTTCAGTACAAAGCTAGAAATGTATTTTGATCAAAACTGGTTCACTTTAAGATGCTCCCTCATGCTGTTCAGTGACTGTATGTCTTTAGCAGTGAAAGCTGGGTTCGTCTCCCTTCACTCAGTGTTCTGGCGTTGTGGGAAAGACAGTTTAGCTGTAGATGTGTGTGCTGATTGGTCCCATACCAGGAACTGGCATTAAAACTAAACTGCCTCATTAACCCCAGGCAGGTAGCATCCTCCAAAGATCCAGAAACCAGCGAGCCCCTCAAACCTTTCAATCATCTCTGCAAAATCACAAAATCCTATGTTTTGGGTGATTCCATTTATATGAAATGTTTTGAACGTATATCTACAGGGAAAAAGTAGATTTAGCAGTTACCTAGGACTGTGAGAGGTGGGAAAACTGAAGAGGGTCTGCTAATAGATATGGAGCCTCTTTCTGAAAAGATAAAAACATTCTGAAATTGATTTTGGTGATGGTTACACACACTGTGAATATACTGAAAACCAGTGAATTGTATACTTTAAAAGGGTGATCGTTATGGTATGTGAATTATATTTCAAAAAGTTACTAAGAAAACTACTGGGAAATATTTCATATCTACCCTTTTAGGTTTTTAGATTAGAAGGTAAAGGCAGAGCATCATCAAGCACATCTTAAATGTAAAGGGAAAGTCACTGCCAAGAGCAAAGTATCAATGAACAGCCTTTTGAGCCAACCTGTTCTGACAATGAGACGAGAAGGGACATAGGTGCACATGAGTGTGTGTGTCCATGCTAAATCTTCACACAAAGAATGGGCAGATTATGTTTTAAAAAGTTTTTAATCAAGAGTAGTATGTTTAAGCATTTTATTTGAAAATGGGAGGCAATAACAACTAGAAGAAATTTCTTAGAGGGGTGGGGACGATGGTGATCTCTGGTGACTGGGATTGTGTGGGGTAAGAAACAGGACAGCCTTTAGAATCTATACAAACTCTGGTCAAAGGAATTCATAGAAATCAGTAGATTTTTAAAACTACAAAGAAGATAAAATGTATATTAATCTATGGAGGGA